ATAATAGTTATATATATTTATAGGGTACATATGATGTTTTGTTATAGGCATACAATGTGAATTAATCAAATCAAGGTAATTGGGGTGTCCCTCACCTCAGGCATTTATCATTTCTTTGTGTTATGAACATTCCTATTCTACTCTTTTAGTTTATTTTAAAGTATACCCTAACTTATTGTTGATTATAGTCACCTTGTTGTGCTATCAAATCTTGTTCATTCTACCTATCTAACTATATTTTTGCACTCATTAACCATCTGCACTTTATCGCCCCTTCCCCACTGCCCTTCCCAGCCTCTGGTAACCATCATTCTACTCTCTTTCTCCATGAGATCAATTGTTTTTAATATTTAGCTCCCACATATGAGTGAGAACATGTGAGCTTTATCTTTCTGTGCTTGGCTTATTCATTTAACATAATGTTCTTTAGTTTCATCAATGTTGTTGCAAATGGCAGCATTTCATTGTTTTTGTGGCTATATAATATTCCATTGTGTATATGTACCATAATTTCTTTATCCATTCATCTGATGATGGATACTTAGGTTGATTCCAAATAGTGCTGCAATAAACATGGGAGTACAGATATCTTTTCAATATACAGAATTCCCCATCTTTGGATATATACCCAACAGTGCGATTGCTGGGTAATATGGTAGTTCTATTTTTAGTTTTTTGAGGAACCTCCATACTGTTTTCCATAGTGATTGCACTAATTTACATTCCCACCAATGGTGTACAAGGGTTCCCCTTTCTCCACATCCTTGCCAGAATTCATTGTTGCCTGTCCTTTTGATAACAGCCATTTTAATTGGGGTGAAATGATATCTCGTTGGAATTTAGATTTGCATTTCTCTGGTGACTGATGATGTTGAGAATATTTCATATACCTGTTGGCCATTTGTATGTTTTCTTTTGAGAAATGTCTATTCAGATCCTTTGCCCATTTTTTAATCAGATTATTTGATTTTTTCCCATTGGAACTCCATATTTTATCTTATTATTTATTTTACTGATACCATCAAAGACATTGATTTGCCCTCCTTCACCTCAAAGTTTGTCCACATCTTTATTTATGCTCTCCAGATAACCTCTCTCAGGACGTCCTTGCCTTCCCTTTTCAGGGATCTAGCTGCTTGTTTTTATTTCAATCTCATGTCGCCTCTAGAACATTACTCCATCAATTTATTCTACCCTCTCTTGCATTTTATCTTCTCTCTCTCTCTTTTGCACATTCAAATTGTTGAAAAATTTTGACCGAGGACGTGGGTGACAAATCAACTCCAAACATATTTAAAATGGAACATACGTTACATGAAATCTCCTTCTTTTCCTCACTTTTCTATGCCTGTTCTTAACAATAAATTGGACCCCAAGCCTCATAGTTTTATGTAATTCTTTCCTCCATCTCTCCTACATATAGTCAGATCTCGTCAATTCAATTCCGTCATGGCTCTATAATTTGCCCCTTCTTGAATTCCCACTTGACTGCCACCATTGTATATCAGGCCCCTTTTGCTTCTTGCAATAATATCCTAACTAGCCTTATCACCAACACTACTTTAGCCTGCCCATAAGTCTCATCTTGCCACCTACTCACTTTAAGTGAATTGATTCTAACATAGAATTTAGTCCATGTATGCATTGACAGTTGAACTTTATTATCTGAAAAGTAAAGGTTAGACATGTAGATGTGGGAATCTGAAGCATAGTGGTCATAAGGAAAGGCACAATGTGCAGGAGATGGCTCAGAATACTCCAGATGTTTACTTATTCTTGTTGCCTATAAAATATATCCTAGACTTCATCACTAATTAGAATTTTCTTTCTCTCTAGCTTTTCATTCTTGTATCCCTCCATTGCATCTCCTCATCTAGGTGATGCCTCCAGCCAAACTTCTCTTATTTAGTGTAATAGATTTCATTTATTCAACTCAGAAAACATTTATTGAGCATCTACTATGGACTAATAATTGACAGATTCTTTTCTTTAAACTTACCCAATGCTTCATCATCAACTTGCTTTGATCATTTTTAGCTATATTCTTCTTCTCCCTTTCTATGTCATATAAAATTGTATTCATTCCTAAAAGCCCAGTGTAAATGTGTCTTCTTTATTAAAGTCTCAATGATGTGTCAAGCTTTAAAAGTACAGATTCCTAGACTTTACTCCAGACTTGCTGAATCATAGCCTCAAGGGGTGAAGCCTTAGAATCCACACATTTAAACATCTCTCCAGGTTCTTCTGATACTCTGTAAGTTTTGGGAAGTAGTGGAATAGATTACTCAGGAGCTTTTAAGGACAGGCAAACAGTGTCAGAAAGGTCCATCAAGGGGTGACAGGTGTTTTCCCAGTGGGTGGGCAGCATATCATTGCTATGTGGAGTCAGAGAGAAGAAAATATGTTCAAATCTAGGCAGGTGGTCTGCATCAGGGTGGTCTGGCACCAGGTAAAATGGTCTTCATTATTGGACAGGAGCTGAGTCTTAGAGAACTGGCAAGTAAAAGGCAGGACGATAATTCTAAAGTAAATGAGAGAGGTTCAGGAACAAGGCAGAAGACTCATTATTACTGAGTACACTGGTACTCAGTGTGATGGTTTAGTCACAAGAATGAGGCAGGAATTTAGTTAGTAGAACCGAGATACATAATCAAGTGGCAACGTGCACTTGATATACAGCCACCTGAATTTAAGGTCCAGATCTTTGTAACTGGGAATTTGAATTAGATCTTAACTCAGGATTTAAAAGGCTACATATGTGGAGATTGAAGGGATTCTAAATCAAAGAACAAGGTAGTTATTAGATATATTATACTATCTACTGCCTTACTTCTAAAGACCATTGCTTCTCAAAGTTTGAACTTTGGGTTCTGCATCAGAATGTACATCCCTGAGGCCCTGCTCCAGACTTATGGAATCAGAATTTGGGAAGTAGGACTCAGATCTTCATTTAAACAAGATATGTGGGTAATACAGTGCTTAATTTGGGAACCATTGAGTTCTACTGTAATTTGATTATAGGAACCATGTCTTATTTGTCTTTTCTTTTTTTTTTTTGTCTATAAACTGAAATTGCTTTATTTCCATTGTGTTGTTAGCATATTGCAAGCCTTGCAGAATATCTTACCAAAAGTCAAAAAGGGAAGATGCATATTATTAGATTAGAACTACAGGCACAATGTCTTTGTTTTACTCAGAGTTCCTAGCAGAAAGCCTTGGGCATTGCAGACACTCAAATGTTTGTAGAAAAAGAAATGTATTGTTTTCTTTTAAAATTCATTATTTTTCATAGAGCTTTTTACTCCATTGCAATATATTATTTTCACATTTCCATCAGGCAAAATTATAAGTGTTTTCTCCCAGGCAAATATAAAAATTCTTTCAATTAAGGAGAGTCATGCATATAAAACATTAGTATTAATAGCTGCTTCAAAGATACTTAATTTTTTCATCGTTAAATTTTGAGTCTAGAATGCAATTATATTTACGATGATGGTATTTATTAGGTAATTAATTTGATTTTATCTGGGTTCACATGAACTGTTTGTTGATGAGAGGTTAGTAAGAACTGGGAATTCATTGTTCAGAATGGAAACAGTTTTATAGCTGTTTGCAAACTTCGAATTTATGGTGGGCTAAGATTAGTCACAGTGTATAGCCAGCTCTGAGTCAATGACTCTGTACTTATTTTTGACATAAAGT